TATAGCAAAAGCTCTAAAAAGTCCATTTCCTGAGGTTTGAGAACTGACTAAAATGTTAATTATTGTTAGACACACTGGTACACAATTATAATCTCCACAGTGAGGAGACTCGGGCAGGTCAGGTTCAAGGGTTTGAAGGTAGCCTGTGCCGCAGAGCAAGACCTTATTTCCAAAGAGGAAAAAAAAGAAGAGAAGGAGGAAGGAAAGGAAGAAGGATGGAAGAAAGGGAGGGAGGGTGGAAGGAAGGAAAAAAGGAAAGAGGAAGAGAAAAGAATTTGGTAGATAATTATCTTGACAATGTGAAGTTGAATCATGGCTGGGACACAAAAGAATTTGCAGGAGAGAAGTCATGTAGAAATATATAAAAGGAATAAAACAAAACTAGACAGAAATTATGTAATCACAACATTACATAATGAAATATTTAAAAAAAAATAATGTAAGGACAAAATACTGTAGAAATAAAGTTGCCAAGCCTTTGTCTTTCACAACTGAGAGTCAACATCTAATATTGTTTAAAGTTCAAAATACATCAAGAAATTGAAGGCCATCGATTACAGTTATGAGGGTGTGGTGGTTGATATCGATTGCTAAATTGATTTGCATTTAGAAGCAACTGAGAGCCAATCGTTTAAAGAGGCAGCTCTGCTAGGACATGTTCAGGAAGGCTTAACTGAGAAGATAAAACCTTCCCAAGAAGTTGGTGGTATCTTTGGGTATCACCCCAGAGACAAAGAGATCAAAGGGTACAGTAGTGCTTGCTGCTTGCCTGCCTTTGCTTCTTGCTAATGAGTGCCTCTATTCTATTGCTGCTGCTGCTGATGATGATGATGATGGTGATGACGCCACTGATATCCTTCATTGACATCAGAACCCAGCTTTTTCAGTCTGCCAGTGTGGACTGAAGACCTCTCCAAGAATCTTCTAGGTCTTAAGTGCCAGTTTGGAACTGCAGAGACATCTAGCTTCACACACAAAGCAACTATCAGGTCTGTGGCCTCTCCTGAGTGCAGACATCCAAAATAGGACTACCCAGATAATAGTTACATAAAGTATAACCTACTAAGTCTCCTTTCATAATGTATGTTCATTCTGTTAGTCCTGTTCCTCTAGCATTCCTTGACTAATAGAGAAGACAACAGTTAGAAGCCTGGACATACAGTTGCCCTGGAGGTTGGGGCTCGGATGAGAATGGGTGGAAGGCCTACGCTTTTCATATTACCTTCAGTGTCACTCTGCTTGTTACCACGTGCACACATTTCTACAGGGAGTGTAAGTTGTGAAAGTGAGAAAGCGTTAGAAACTAAGACGGTCCTCAGCAGTTGGCAGTCTGATACTATTTTCTAGATGACTCAATATCACATCTTACCTCGGGACTATTACTTAAGGCCTAATTGTGGTGATACCTAAGACCTTTGGAGAATCTGATAGACAGTCACTGTGTCCTTCCGTTAATAAAGGGAGTATAGGAATGGAGAAAGAGGAGGAGGAGGAAGAGGAGACGACAATGACAAGAGGAGCTCCAAGCAGAGAGTCAAATTGCTGTCAGATCAGAAAGCAGCCTCTGTATCCTCCTGGAGGGTTCCCAATAAGAGGTAGAGCTTTGGGGAACAGCAAAAGCCCAGAGAGGCTGTGCAAAGCTGCACCCACAGAGAGCAACAAACTCCTGAAATGCTGTGAGTCATGAGCGCTGGCTCCTTCCAAAACAGGCTTCTCCTGGTTAATAGGCTTCTCCTGGTACTTTCCAGCTCCATTGTCATCCCCTTTATACACACATAGGATGTCTGTCTTTCCAATCCCTGCAATTGAGAAGCCTCCCTTTTGTCTGTTGTAGGTGGAACCTAGTATTCATAATTGACAACAATACCTGTTCAAGTTTGCTTTCTATTGCTGTGATAATGACCATGACCCAAAGCAATTAGGGGAGGGAGGATCGATTACGTTCCTACAGATTAGAGTTCACTATTAAGCAAAACATTAGTGTTCTGGGGGTTGGGTAAAGAATCAGTGCAGGTACCAAAGGCAAGAACCTGGATGAAGTAAAAACAGTGGAGGAATTCTGCCTACTGGCCCGCTCACCGCAGATTGCTCAGTTTGCTTTCTTACACAATGCAGGATCACCTTCCCAGGCTGGCACCATTCACAGTGGACTGGGCCTTCCCACATCAATCTTTAATCGAGACTTTCCTACAGACCAAAACCAGGGAGACATTTTCTCAATTGAAGCTTCCTCTTCCCAGATGACCTAGTTCATATCAAGTCAAAACAAACAAACAAAAACAAACAACAACAGAACACACAAAGAGAACAATAGGAGCATGTTTTCCCAGCAACCGTCCTAACCCCTCCTACCCAACCCTATCTTTTTTTCTTTTTATAAGGTTGAAGCCCTGGCATGCCTCTTTCCTCTCTTTGGAAGGACTGCACAGCGCTGATCTTCTAAAAAGGAATTACACCTTCAGAGCTGTTGAAAGTAATGGCCCACTGAGATGGCTCACACCAGCAACAGAAACACTCAAAAGGCTGAGACAGGAGGATTATCATAATTTCAGTGCCAATCTGAACCACACAGTGTGTTCCAGGCTAGCTAAGCTGCAGAGTAAAACTCCGTCTCAAATAAAATAAAACAACAGAAAGATGAAATTCCAGTTTTGACTGAAACTAATTTACTTTTCTACCTTGATCAGATTATAAGGAGAGAAACCTAAGACACTCTACCTGTCCGTTTTGTAACATTTTTGTGACTGTTGGGACCTTATTTGATTCCAGGCAGTTTTTAGTTTCTGGGGCAAGGGCCTGGAGTAGTGAGAACTGGGAACTGAGGCAGTATTGCTGCCCTCTGTTCCGGGCGATACCCTGCTCCTTAGCAAGTAGAACATTCCCACAGGCAAGCATTCATAACCCATAGGTCTGACAATACCTGACTTGGCCTCTATTGCAGAGAAAGCCAGGCCCTAGTGGAAGCACTCAGAAGCACTTGACATTCTCTAGAGAAGGGAGGTCACTTTGCTGGGCCTGCCCCTGCTTCTATACCCTCCCTCCCCAACCCTCTCCTTACAGATTCTGCTGGATGGCTTCTTCCAATTATTTCAGTATCTACATCAAGGCCATTTGTTTTCCCTATTTTAGCAGACTTCTTTCAAGCCTGGGTCAAGGCCTCTGCTCTCAGAGGAAGCATGTCAACACCGCAGCCCCCCTCACCCCCTTCGCCCCCACATCATAGCAACCACTCACAGCATGTGTTTACTGGAGAGCCCCAGGCAGCCAACATGCTCAGACAAGCCGAACAGAAAAAAATTCTACTGTGTATAAGAGAATGGAGTTTTTGGCATGCCCTATGGCCCTAAAAATAGCAACGGTTTTGCTAGGAAGATAACTTTGCCTCCAAAGCTTTGTTTGAAACACAAACCACACCTGACTTAACTGTCTCTTCTCCCTTGTTTGTGAAAGAACTCGGAGGACAGGACTCTCCCGAGGTGTCAAAGCGGGAGCAGACCTATCCCTCACTCTTTCTGTGGCTTCTTTCAATTTGACAGTGCAGACTGAATCAAAAGGAACACTTCCAAGGTAATAATGAAGAAACCTAGAGTCAAGTAGCGGAAAGCGATTGAATCGCCCGCTTTACCCATTCCCTCAGTGTCACGGGACTGCTCTCCAGAGCATCCTCGTAATCGCACCACAGCATTATTTATTATGTACAATTGCCTCATTCTCTTCTGAAGCCAGGCTTTGTTTAAAAGTCCATTCAAGACCAGCTGTACTTCAACTAAGGGTCACTTGAAGCATCCGTCTAATCTGCTGTATGTCAAATGTCATTATGCTGGGAGCCCCAAACCAGCAAATGAAAGGAATATATTCACCTGCGCTCAAAGATGCTACACAGTGTCTCTTACCAGAACCTTAATATCCACAGGATGTGTCACAGAGAAAAAGAGGCCAGTCCCACGGCTTGCTCTGCTGTCTGATGGGTGACACTCATCTCTGCTGTGTGAGTATTTATGCACACTTTGTAGGAGTCTTGCTAATTGTAATTGTGATTGCTTACTACAGTTTCCAAGGCAACAGTTGTCACTGCAGTGCTTCACCGCCAACTCAATTTCCATTCTTCTGTTGATATAACAAATATTATGTGACATTTTAACTGAAAATGTCTGTAAATGGGCGTCTGAATGTGGTGTGTTTCTTTAAAAGGGAAGGAAAACAATTATTAGCTTTTCATTATTCATCTCAGTGGTGTGTTTGATTGGTAATTACTTCAATTTTATATTTAGGAAAGAAATGCACTGGGGTCCCATGAGGTCTTCGATCTGGATGTCCCGGATCCCGGTCCTGCTTTCCTCCCAATGTCCCAAATGTTTGATTCAGTGTCAGGAGCTTGTCAGCAGACTGTCCCGCATCAAAAGTACTGCCCGTGGCTGTCACTGCCTAGCCCTTCTGTTCTCAAAGAGCTCCTTTCATTTACAAGCCGTGTGGTCTGAGAGAGACCAGATAAAGCAGGTGTCCTTCGCTGCAACTACTCGTGTACCTCTGGAAAGCTTCAGAATCCCAACAGATAATGAATCAGAAATGCCAGCAGAGCATTGTCATCTAGTACAAACTGGAATCGGAAAACGCTTCTTAAGCCAGCAGTGTTTATCTCTAGTCAAGGACCCTGAAGTGACCACACCTCTAGCCCATGCTCAGATCACTCTCTGCCTTAGTAGAAGTGCATCTAATCTGCGCAAGCGTGTGTACATTCTGTCTCTATTGCGTATGAATTTGCACACACTCTCCCACTTCTGTGAAGTCTTAATGCTAGTCCTTGCTAACCTGTGCCATGTTTGTTCACCAGAACATCTCAACCCTATCCCTTTTTCAGGCTGGAGTTCTAACCTCAAGACCACCTTGCTTTCATCTGGCTCTCAGATCCTTCTGGCTGGAGTTGCTAACCCAGGATGCAGAGTTGCTCACACCTCGGCATTCAGAATCATGATCCCTGCCCAAGATGCTCCCATGCTTACCTGCTGTAGCAAGCTGTTCCTCCTTCCCCTTCAGTTCTCCTTTCTTTATTCCATTTTGTAATCTTGTGGAAGTCTCTCACTTTCTCCGAATCCTCCAATAAGATGTGCTGACTATTCAATAAACAACAGATTCAGCGAATGTCTACAAGCACTCCTAGTGGGTGTTCAAACAGTTCAAAGAATAAACAGTTTGAGCAGCTTCAAACCTCAAAAAGGTTCTCTTGCACTTCCATAATAGGACATTATAAAACAATGTTGAAAGCAGGGATTCACAGAAAAGCCCGGAACCTCCTGTAGGGTTTCATTAAAAATGCAGATTACTGGAAAAAAAAAAAAACTGAACCAGTTCTATTAACGTATTTAAAAATCATTGTTAGATTTATTAGGTGTGATGTTCTCAGCATGGTTAAGCTTTGTAAAAGACTCCTTTATTCTCTTTCATTTCACAGCCCAGACTGAAATCTTTGTTTAAAAGTCTTTGTTTGGAATTTTCTCTTAAATAACCCCTATTGTGAAGAGACTGAGTGACAGAACTTGTAATAGACCTGTGGATGAGTTAAAGCAGGGCAATGGAACATAGGAGTTGATGGTACTACATTCCCTGATTTTTATGCATGAACTTTTAACAATAAAGCTTATTTAAAACACATAGATAAAGAAAAACAGTAGCCATTGTTAAGGCTAGGTGAAACTATTTACTCTCTCAAAGATGAGAAACTGCTCCATAGTGAAATTTATTTTCAAAAAGTACAAATTACCATTTCAGTCTTTTTAGTAAACATTTATTAACTCCAATTTTCTTTTTTTTTTTTTTTTCTGGACCTAAACTCTATAAGCAGAGTAGACACAGATTTGTATATATACTCGTGTGTGTGTGTGTGTGTGTGTGTGTGTGTGTGTGTGTGTGTGAATCTTTAAAACCTCAAGACATAGAAACTACCCACCAATTCTTTATTAACATAATTTTAGTTTACAGTACTCAAAATCAATAAATCTACATTATAAAATGTTTTATACTTAACATATAAATACATTTTCATACAATATATTCGGATCATGGTTCCCCTCCCCCAAATTCTCTCTCTAGATCCTCCTTACCTCTTTGCTCACCCCCTCCTCTAACTCCACGTACTCTCTCTCTCTCTCTTTAGAGGGAAGAAAACAGGCATGCATACTGCGGCGACTTGAATGGGTATGGCCCATGGGTACAGGTTTGAAAGCTTGGCCCATAGTGAGGGAGTGGCACTACTAGGAGGCGTGGCCTTGTTGGAGGAAGTGTGTCACTGTGGAGGTGGGCTCTGCAGTCTCATATATGCCCAAGCTACCTCTCCTGCTGCTGCCTGCCAATCAAGAACTCTCAGCTCCATCTCCGGCACCATGTCTGCCTGCACACTGCCATGACAATAATGAACTAAGGCTCTGAAACTGTAAGCCAGCCCCAACGAAATGTTTCCCCTTATAAGAGTTGCCATGGTCGTGGTGTCTCTTCACAGCAATAAAACCTTAACTATGACACAAACAAACAAAAATTTTAAATAAAAAAAAAAAAAAGGAAAAACACACACATACAACTCATAAACCATAATATACAAGCAGAGACTAGTAAGGAAAAAAAAATGCCCCAAAAATGTTCAAACAAAGCAATATGAGACAAAAAGTTTACAAGAATACCATGAAGTTAGTTTTGGGTTAGCCATCTACTTCTAGGCCCGGGCTACCATTAAGTGTAGTTAACATGCTCAGTGAGGCTCTGTCGAAGGAAACTGAATTTTCCTTTGCAAGTGGATGTCAGTGGTGCCATCTTCTTGCTTAGGAATGGGAGCTCGTATCTACTTCCCTCTCTCAGTGCTAATACCACATCTGGCCTAACCCTGTGCTGGCCCTATGCATACAGCCACAGACTCTATGTGATCATATGTTCTTCAATCCTGTTGTGTCTAAATAACTCATTCACCTTTACCCTACCCTCATCTGTGTTCCGTTAACCCACATTTAAAATGATGAATTGTGTAATGCATGTTTTTCCCCTTCATAATGTATACTCAAGTAATGCTACCATCTTGATTTTTCCACCATAATAAATGATTTTGTGGACTTTAGAAAAATATATTTTCTGAATATATTTCTGGGGTTATATCATAATGTATCATTCTAAATGTATAAATATCTTTCTATAGCAAAGAGAAGAGATGGGAATTACCTATTTAATCATAATAAAGTATTAATTTCCTGTTGTTGTAATAAATTATTATAACTGACTAGTTTATAATGTAAATTTATTATCTTACATTTCTGGAGGTCGGAAGTCCAAAACAAATCTTATAGAGCTGATGTCAAGGTATTAGCAACACTGATTTCCTCCTAGCGACTCTCCTGTTTCAGCTTCTACAGGTCACTCACAGTCCATGGGTCCTTGACCCCATTGCTTTGGTCTCTGCTTTGTCACATAGCTATTTCCTCCAAGTTGGACATGATCATCACTGTCTTGGCTCACAGAAGCTGTGATCAGCTGCAAATGACTTAGCCTATTTGCATTTCCTCCCAGAGGGAGCATGGAGGCTCATAGGGGTCATAATGTCATAGGGCCCACCAGGTTCTAAGGCCCTGTCATTTTTTACGAGTGCCCTCTGCTCCCCAATGTGATATAAGAGATAGCAATTGATAGGTGTGGGACTCCTCGATAGTGTAGCTGCTTGTATGTTGCACAAGAGACGCTTCAAGAGTACAGGTTTTTTTACGAGGCTTCCACACTTCAAGTCATGCATGCTCCTGTTAAAAAAAAAAAAATCTCATATTCACCAAGCTTAGTTGGATGGAACCCTGTCTTTGGTTTGTAGGTGCTCTCACTACTGGGGTGGCTATCAAACAACAATTTCCATTGTCACATCTCCTTCCCTTACTCACCTGCCTCACTGACATAAGAACTCTTATCATTACACTGGATTCAGACTGATAAGCCAGAGTAGCTCTGCATCAAGATCCTTAATCACATCTGCAAAGACACTTTTACCATGTAAAGAAGTGGTTCTCTACCTTCCTAATGCTGTTACCCTTTAATTCAATTCTTCGTGTTGTGGTGACGTCCAACCATGAAATTATTTTCATTGTTACTTCATAGCTGTAATTTTGCTTCTGCTATGAATTGCATTATAAACATCTGTGTTTTGTGATAGTCTTAGGCAATCCCTTGTGAAAGGGTCATTTCACTCCCAAATGGATCGCAACTCATCAGTTAAGAACCATTGATGTTAAGTAACATATCTGTAGTTTCCAAGAATTGGGAAATGGACAGTTCTGATGGGGGGGGGGCATTAATTCTATCTTGTCTTCTATAATATTCCATTATTCAGTCCCCATAAATTGAATATATTAGTTATCACTACAATAATGTTTTATAATAAACTACTTCCAAAAATCAACAGATCACAGTAGCAAGCATGTATTTTTCTAATTTTTGAGTTACAAGTTGTCTACAGAGATTCTGCTTTGAGCTGAGAGTTGGGCATCAAGATTAAGGACACATTTAACCCTGCTTCATATCTTTCAACCTGTAGTCCAGGTTGAAAAACAGTGAAAAGTTTGGGCTTTTTCCCCCCCTAAGACTTACAAAATCATTAAGAAGCCTTCTTGGGTTAGTATTTTGTCAATCAACCCAAGATAGAATCATTTGAGAAGAAAGATCTCCAATTGAGAAAATGCCTCCACCAGACTGGTCCATGAACAAGACTGTGGAACATTTTCTTGATTAATGATTGACATGAGTGGTGAAGCCCAAGCAGTTGGTCCTGAGTTGTATAAAAAAGAGAGCTGAGCAGGACGTGATAAGCAAGTCAATAGAAAGCAGAATTCCACAGTGGCTTCTGTGCTAGGTAGTTTATGTTAACTTGACAAAAGCCAAAGCCATCTGAGAGGAGGGAACCTTAATTAAAAGAATGCCTCAATGGGATTAGGCTGTGGGTAGGTCTGGAAAGCATTTTCATAATTGGTGATTGATTGGAGAGGGCCCAGCCCAATGTGAGCTGTGCCATCCCTGAGCTGGTGGTCCCGGGTTCTATGGGAAAGCAGGCTGGGTAAGCTAGGAGAAGCAAGCCAGTAAGCAGCACTCCTCCGTGGCCTCTGCATCAGCTCCTGTCTTCAGGTTCTTTCCCTGCTTGAGTTCCGGTCCTGACTTCCTTCCATGATAAACACTGCTGTGGAAGTGTAAGCTGAATAAACCCTTTCTTCCCCGAGGCTGTTTGGGTCATGGTGTTCTATCACAGAATAGAAATTCAAAGTAAGCCTTTCTTTCAGTTCCTGCCTTGAGTTCCTGTCTTGGTGTTTCTCAGTGGATGGACTATGATTCGGGATATGTAAGCCAAATAAACCATTTCCTCCCCAACTTGCTTTTGGTCATAGTGTTTTACCACAACAGTAGAAATCCTGAGATAAAACCTCCCATTTAGCCATTTAAATTTTGTTGACCAAATTCTATATACACATCAAAAGCTAATGAAATAGGAAAGTATACTACACCACAAAGAAGAAAAAACATACAATAAATGTGTGATGATTAGAAATTTAACTTCCTATTCACTAACTATGGTACCAGCCAGCTCAAACCACCTCACTGATTCTGCCTTTCAAGTATTTTGAACTTTGACAGGTCACTGAAATAAGTTCACAACTTCTGACTGAGAATAAACCTTATTTCAAGGGAACATTTAAATGTCTCCAGAGGTCTTATCTAAGTCATGGATAAATCCAGACGTAGCCAAAAAAACAAAACAAAACAAAAAACACTACCAGGCATGATTAAAGTATAGAAACTAGGGTGTAGAAACAATTTTCATATAAAAGAACACTTGAGAACTGACCATAATAGGCTATGCCCCTAATTCTAGAACGCAGAGTCTGAAGCAAGAGGATTCCCATGAGTTTAAGGCCTTGTTCCAAACAACAAAAGGGGCCTAGAGAAATGGTCTAACAGCTAATAACCATCTGTAATTCCAGTTCCAAGGGATTTGACATCTTCTTCTCGCCCCCTCTCACACCAAATATCCCTATGGTGCTCACTCGTAAATGCAAACAAACACTCATACACGTAAAGGCAAAACCCAAGCCATTTACTATTTGGACTTAAAATTCTAGTCATACTTTGTCTACTAGTCACACATGGCAGTTACTGCACACCCAAGAAGAAATCACGTTCAGAGAAAATCGTGTAACACAGGTTGACTCACAGCTACCTGTAACTCCAGCCCTAAGAGATCTGATGCCCCCTTCTGGCTTCTCTGGTGCCTGCATGCTCCCACATGGACTCTCACACATACACATAATATTTAAAAGAATGGTTTTTAATACATAATCTTTAAAGAAAATGATCGAACTAGACAGTGGAATGTACGAGGTCAACTCTATGTTCCCTCATCATCTTCCCACCGTCCAGGACATTGCTTTACACTGAACATGCACTTACTAAGAGCACATGAAATTAATGCCCACAGTGTTTAAATTTTAAAGCAATTAATCATGTTTCATTTATGCCATAGAAAAGCTCCATGCAAGTATCTTAGCCAACATGAGTTTAGCTGAGAATGGAGGACTTGGGAAAGTATTTTCTTAAAAGGCAACAGAGATAACTCATAAAACCCAAAGGCAGAAGGGCAAGTGGGAAGCCAAAGAATGCTTTCTGTCTGTGTCATCTGTTGCTGCTTGCACATCCTCATTCTCTGCACCAATTCGATTCCTTTCCAGGAAACACAGAGAGCAAAAGTTTTCTATTTCAGGATGAGAAATGTGCACAGGCTGGATAAGTGTCTTCAAGCTTTCCTCGAATTTCTAGTAGGGGCATTTTTCTCCATGCTTTTTCAGACAACCGGTCGTGAGACAAGCAGAACAGGAATGGCCGCTGAGGATTTGCTGGAGGAAAACTCTTGTCCTTAGGTAAAAATTTGTCTTGAATGTAAGCTAATCTGGGCATGGTGGTGCATGCCTGTAATCCCAGCACTCTGGGAGGCAGAGGCAGAGACAGAAGGATCAGCCTGGTCTACAAAGTGAGTTTAGGACAGCCAAGGCTACACAGAGGAACCGTGTCTCAAAAACACAAAAACAAAAAAGCAAAGGCTTGAGAAGGTGTCACTTGTAAGATGAGATTATAAAAACTTTGGCTTCCACCTGAGGCCGCATGCTCCCTAGAATCTCTGCCTCTGAGGTTATCAGCACCAGTCAAGCATAAGCTTAGGTTTCCATGACTACTTTGTATCTGCAAGACCAGTCGGAGACATGCCTTTGAAGATGTGCTGTTCTTCGGAAACTGGCAACCTTGGAGAGGCAAAAAGCTTGAAACATTAAGAAAGGTTTGAGAACAGTATGTGGTGAAAGGACAGAAAGTCTGTGTGGAGCTAGAGAAGTCAGAAGAAGCTCCATAAGCGCGTAAAGGGTAGGAAACCTGCAGAAAGGAGAAAAGACATCAACTGTTCCAAGTGTGAAGGTTAGTCAAGGCTCTCTAAAGGACAGAACTGCGA